GTGGAAGCAGAGCGTAGGCACCAAGTGAGCACGCTGTTTTAGGGGTTATGCATAACCGGTCAGCCAGGAACAGTGCAGGGATGCAAGCAAATAAGAGGAAATAGGCTGAAACTTGGATGTGATGGTAATAGCTAGTTTCCACTTAGTGAACATCTACTATGTGCCAATATTATATACAATTTACATCACTTATATATATTCCTGTTAATTCTCACAACCACCTTCAAAATTGTAACTGTTATTCTCATTTTGCCGATTGAAAACCAAAGCCATCAGAAGTTAGGTAGCTCACTCAAGATCACACCTCTACTTAGGGCAGAGTCAGGTTCAGTCTCCAAAGTCTATGCATTTTGTTACTGTGTCATCCTTCCCCCAACATGTAGAAACCGGGTTTAGAGGGTCTCAAGCCATGAGCCATTTCTAAACTAGAAGGAACATGTACAAACTGATTCCATTAAAGCAATATGCAGGAAAGAGGCGATAGGAGCTGGTCTCAGGAAAGAAAGGGAAGAACTTGCAAGACACTGTGAAAGCAGAATGGCTGGGATTTAGCAACTAACTGCAGTCAACCNTCCTGAGCAAGTCAGAAGCCCTCAAACAAGTCAAAGCCCTGTCTCTGTCTGTCTGGCTGGCTTGGTGGCCTCTTGAGGCCCTCACTTGGATAACACCTTCTTTACCAACCTGGTTGAAAAGCCTGGTGCCCTACCTCAGGGGGCAGGGGCCAAATCAACCATTCCAAGGGTGGGATGAGCCTGCTTTCCAGTGACCAGAAAAACCCAGGCCTCAAGGATGCAAAAGACGAACTCCTGGGGCCAAGGCTGAGGAACGTTTCCCTCCCCACACTGGTCAAATTGTGGCCTTTGGAAGAAACTTGTCCAACAGCATTGCTCCTACCTCCCACAGAGGTATGTGAGCCAAGCACACCTCAAGCAGCCAGGTGAGTCACAAGCCATGAGCCAAATTGGCTCTAACCAGTATCTATACTTGCAGGCAAGAGAGAGAAGGTCCTGCCTCGCAGTGCTGGAAATGAAGTTGCAGAGGGAAAACTTACACCCAAAGAGAGCTAAGTTACCCTGAGGAGCCATCCCCCTTACAAGTGGCGGAACTGGGAAAGAAGCCACTGAGGAGGTAGAACTTGATGGAGATCTTCAAAGCAGAGTAAGGCTGAAATCAGAGGCAGGGAGGGTAGTGGAAAAGGCACCAGGCTGCACAGCAGGGGACCTGAGTCCCAGCTTGGACTGTGCCATGAAGAGGCCACATAGCCTGGGGTTCATCACTCAATTTCTCTGGGCCTCAGTTTCTTCAGTTGTAAAATAAAGGATTTAGACTATAGGATCTCTAAGTTCTCTTTCCCCAGCGTGCGCGCACACACACACACACACGCACGCACACAGATTCT